CAGTCGCTATCTATAATCTATCGCACGGCGGTAGGTAGCTTGCATGTAGGAAACAACCAGTATGATAGGTTATAACTCACATTTACAGAAGTTAATTGATCGAGAAAGAATTTTGATTGGCGATTTACAAAAAAATTATATGTCTTTAATAGGCTATTGAAGCGGATGTGATGAGAAAATAAGCTATAATGTATAGCCTGCTTAACTAAAATAAATGTATTTATAATCCCTGTCGCTTTATTTTTACCATCTATTTTGCGGCCTATAGTTAAGTTTGAACACCAAATCATGTCAGTTGTGTTCTGTCCATAAAAAAATAAATGTATTTATTATACGCCCGCGTTGATAGTTGGTCGAGCATTTTTAGACTGCCACCAATCATGTCCGTTCGTGGTCTAAAAGTGGTTACCAATGTTCTTCAGATTCTAGGATTTTTTCAAAGTTATGGCCCTTGATGAGTTTTTGACTTTTTAGATCTTTTTACACTTGTTTACATTAGTGAGACGAAGGATTTTTGGCAAATACTTGCAAATTTATACCCCTTGGCGATAAAGCAACATCTAATGGACGCACTAGTGATTGGGGTTTCCGTTTTCTCTTCTTGAAATTTATGAGTGAGACGAAGAAGCCTTTGTAGATACTTAACTGCTGATCTGCAGAGTTATGCCCCTTCAGGAATGCACATTATTTTGTGGAAATGAAATGCGGTTTAACGTCCTACTTCTCTGCACCCACTGAGCTAATGTAGACAAGTGTTTAGTGGGCGCACCAGATACAATCTAATCATACTATCTCACAAGTTCCCATTTATTTGGTGTCACATTCATAGGCGTACGGGCCCGATGAATGTTAGGGGCAGATCTGAAAGTGAAATGCCCGAGAAAATTCTCGTTTACAGACGGCCATGCCGGTTATCAGCGAACGTGGAGTTAACCGTGTAGGGGCCTCCCCAAGAAAACGTATAAAAGCTTTTTCCTGCTTCAGCAGCCCGTGAATACAGTAACTTCAAAGTTGTCTAAGAGGTGTTAACCTCTAAAAACACAAATAAGTATTCATTATTAGTCCAGTTCAATCATTACCGATATTATCTTGCCATGGTAATTTTTAAGACACAATGGACATTTTAACATCAGTATACGGTTTAGTGTACTCTATTGGGCATAATGGGTTCGAGCGCCATTTGTAATGAAAAAGAACCCCATATCCCAGAATGCGCAACGCGGAAGTAGGCTAATTAAAATGGCTGATTCACAAACGACAAAATATTAATAACAGTATAACACCCGTGTAGAATGAACTAAGCAGGGGCTAATTGACTGCCATTCAATTTGGACTGTTCTCGTATTTCACCGAACATAATTGATTAGAAATTACAATAAAATTTAATATGTGTTTTTATACCATCAAGGTACTTAATGCTAGGTTCCTACTGTCCTGCGATACGTTACGATAGGATTGTCCCTGACAGAGACTTTTGGCAAGCGTAAATTCCTGGTCAGTATTGCGTATCGATTTTGCGTGTGACGTCATCAATGTGTGTGTATTTCTTATACGTGATGCTACTTTTAGACGGTGAAATGTTGTGAGTCGTGGCATGCTGCTGACGTTGTAGTGTGAATGATTCAACCAGGTATGGGGTGCATTTGATAGGGCTGGTCCCGGTGATCAGCACGTGCAGCATGAGTTACATGAAAATCATGGAGAACACAGTACCATCTCAGAAGTAAGGTTGCGTTTTTGAGAACATTTCCTGGGTTCAAATCTGTGTTTGAGAAGGAGCCTTACTGCTCAGGTAAAGTTGGAGATATGGTCACAAATATACAATAAAAACATTTGGCAAGTTTTAGGCAATGCGTCTATTCAGAGTAACATACCAACCTGACGTTTCTTTTGCTGCTTAGGATATATTAGACACTTTTGGCAAGCGTAAATTCCTGGTCCGTATCGCGTATCCGTATCGATTTTGCTTGTGACGTCATCGCTGTGTGTGTATTCCTCATACGTGATACGGCAGTACGTACCGACCAACTTTTATACGGATAAGGTCCGTATAACATTGTCATCTTTTTGTGCCATAGCGTGTTTATGAATCTATGTATATCCTAGAACACAATGGTGTGTATTGTTGTGATTTTAACCATGGTAAAAACTGGAATTTAATCATTATTAATGAATTTTCATATTTTTCCTGTCTATATGCTGCTTGATCTACGTGATAAATTTAGGGAGGTGGGACCTTGCAAATCTCTAAATGATGTGATTCTATGGTAAAGGGGTATAAACTTTCTGAAATGATACATTAGTGAAGCCAAAAATTGCTGTCGAGCCGAAGTCGAAATTTTTTGTAAGATTCGACAGTAAATATTTTTTAATAGCTCAGCGAATGTCGAGCGACTTTATTCACTCCAGGGAATTATAGGCTATGCACTTGACTAGTACTGATGGTGGTCTTGGTAGACAACTGCTATCATGCTGTAATAGAATTAAGCTCAGCTCAGCTACTCATACGTACGTGGCGGGAATATCTGCCAAAACTCGAAAACTACATTGACGGAACGTATCACGTGACGATACGGATATGTGATATGGATGGGAAAAACTCAGCTTGCCAAAAGTCTCTATTGACGCAACGTATCGCGTATCCTTATCGTGACGATACGTATATGTGATACGGATGGAAAAATTCCGCTTTGCAAAAGTTTCTATTGAACCCACGATCTAGTACTTGCAGATACGCGCGGATACGTTTCGATACGATCAACACATTGCTACGACTGACCTCAATATATGATAAGACCTGATACGATCACTACGATTACTCCACGATTAAAACCAAAAATTCAATCGTAGCGCGAATCGTGACAGTTGGAAACTAGCATAAGGCACTTACTTTGTTTGACCAAAAAGCAATAAAATTTTGGCAATTTTTCGTTACGGACCTCTGAACAAAGCTGCGTGTATGCCTATCTTTAATAGTTACCGGGTTTGTAAAACGGATTACAGATTAAAATGTTAAATAAACACGAAAGAAATGTATTACATAGACCGAATCCAACATGGCAAAAGATGACCTCTAATATAATATGCAGTCGGTATATTACATGTCTAAATGTAATTTTCTAATTCCCAATAAATAACATGTAGATGTTATGTAAGTGTAATGAATCAAGTAGGTAATAAATATTGATATAAAAGTATACCATAATAAATCATAAACAGTTGTTTCTAATTAAGGAGAGAAAAAAAACGTTATGGAAATTTTAAAGTAGTTAGTAGTTATGCTGTTGGGATTTAAGCGATTTGCTAACTGGTAAAGGAATTGTTTAGACTATATAAAAACATATATGATAGATTAGAGTTCGTCCGATCTCAAGACTGTTTACTCTTTTCATAAAGATTACTTTTATTCTGATATATGTATACAAATGTTTTTCTGTTCAATGTGTGATTGGTATTAACATCAATAAGATAACAAAATGTTGCGCCAACTTGCGGGTATATGTTTTTTGACCTTGTGAGTGCATGTATAAATGCTGGCTTATATCATCTTTTAACTGCCTGTCATTATTGTACGTGGTGCATACAAAACACAACACAGTGTGTTTAATATAACTGCGTAACAAGTTTGACGTGTGAAAATGTCAAACAATGTCGAAGTGCAAATTTCATATTATTCACATCTTGCCTAGATGGACGATGTGATTAGATGTTAAGATGAAGAAAATCAACTTTATAGGTCAACTTATATTCGTGTATTAAATAGTTCGTGTTGGGCTACAAAGTGATATAACCACCAGTTTGTTTAGGCACATTTTTAAAGCTTCTGCAATTGTTCGCAGATCGTTACGTCGACGTCTGGAAAGGATAATCGTCTTCTCTCATAGTAACAGACTGACGTTCAAAACATCTTCTGTTATTAGGGCGTTGTGTCAATGTCTGACAGTGTAAAGTAAAATAGTGCAGAAATACAAAGGATTGTGCTTCTATTATTGGACAATTCCCATCCCAATCACCTGTAGCAACGAGTGCATTCTGGATGATTGACATCGTGTGATGGATAGCAGTTGCTGGTGTATATATTTCACAAAGTGCGAGCCTGTACAGATCTACATTCTGTGCACAAAACATACGTTTATCGTTTCTAGTGTTTTATACATCAAAAGCCTATAGATAATAAATATATATCACAAGGGTTTATATAACAAAGAGTTGAATCGTTATGATTATGGCTTATTGACATGAAGTAGAGAACCTTTGTGTAATCAAGTGCTTTACTGATAATTATAGATAACTAGTAGAAACATTATGAACACAAATGTTTCTCAGTACAAACGTATTCAGCCACAAAAAGTTCGATTACATTACGATAAAAGTGTTAATATGTCTTATTATTTGTTGTGGGAACCAACGAATTCGTAGCAGGTTTATCCGGAAGACGCCCTCGTAAATTTTCTGAGTTACCCGACTGCATTGTCTGAGGAAAACTTTCGGGTTTATTTTAAAGGGCTCGTGCAGTCTGTAACCCAACCCACCGATTTATTGTTCAATAAATACTGTCCTCAGAGCAACTGACTATTACAGAGTGGTGAAACAAAACCAAAAAAATAAATGTCATTCGCTTGTCATCGTGTGATGACTGTGTACCTACCTCCTGTGGAAATATATAGCTTCGAGCGGTACGATTTTCAAATGTCATGTGAATTTACATCATGAACAAGCCATATATATCGAACAGTTAAAATTAAATATTTGAGTTACTCGAATATTGTCTTGTAGACGTCTTGTAGACAATCGTACATCGGAACAAGATGTTCTAGAGCCAGCTTCTGATTTATTGCGCGCTTTGAATAAAACGTTCACCATGAAATGATTTCTACTTGTCACAAAAATATATTTATTGAGACGAATCGGCGGACACCAATCAAACGATAGATGTAGATATACGCTTAACATTCTAATCGAGATATATATATAAACGTTTTTATTATGGAAGAATTGGATATTTGCATTGAAAAACTGTTGGAATTGGCTGATTCCTTAGAGAAAGATATAATGTTTCCGCCCTCATGGCATTATACCGATGAACCTATTTACGACAACCTACAGTCTTTGAAGGTATGTGCCCATTTTATATAGAAAGAACACCTATAACGGAAGAACCCCCTAAAGAAGCTTTAATGTCAAAACCAATCCATGTCAAAACTTCATGTGGTGGTTCAAATCGAAATGGGTTTGTTGTTGCTTCCAAAAATCACTCTTTAGACGTTGCAAGCAAGCTACCGTGTTAATAGCAGTCTAAAGTCCGGTGTAATAGGCCTATATAGAACCCGAAAAATTTTTTTTTAGTAAATGTTAATTGTGGGCAGAATTACTTAATGTTTTAAAACTGGCTCCACGATAATTCACTTGTTCAAAATCCATACAAATGATAAGACAGCTGGCTCCACAAAGAAGAATTTCTAGTACAAAGCCATCCTGCCTAACCAGTGCCTGTGTAAAACCAGACAATCTGAATAAACGTATCAATTTAAATTTATTCAGGTGCACCTCAGTCTTTTTTGAGTCGGTCCCCCCTGCGAACACACACACGCACACACACACAGAGTAATAGTATGACAATATGGGCCTACAATCTATCGTCTACTTACCCGTGTAACTGGTAGCCAAAATCGTAACAATATTTTCTTTTTATGGAGCAGTTATTTAGAATATTTGGAGTTATTTAAATTAGATGCATCTACCTCTTTTGAGTTCGTTACCAGATTTGGCAATAGGAATATGCTGGCGTAGGCTACATGCGCTCTGCTCGTACAACTTGGGACCTAGAAATTGACACAAATAGGTCGCATATAATAATGTAATATGAATGTATATAAACTGATTTACATTCAATCGTTACTGTTTTACTGTAATTTCTAATCAGTTATGTTAGACAAAATACGCCAGAAGTCTCAATTAATGACAATCTTTAGCGTTTGGTTATTCCAGTCTACACTGATGGTATTTATTGCACATGCTCTCCAGAAAAGAATATAGCGTCACCATGACTTGTGGAATATGTCTAGTCGCGTTTTTGAGTCCCTTGTTCCAAATGGCGCTAAAACGCATTATGGTACACATATGTTTATTTTGTCTTGAATATTGGATATCAGAAGCCCATCTTTTCCCTGTAAGATCACAAGACCAATGTGGATTTGAATTGACAAATAATTCGTGTTTTCTATATCGAAGCTACTGTAAACAGTAAAATAGTTGATGTATATACATATAACGACGCACTTTTTCTCTAAATGCCTCGCATCTTTGTTAGTTCATAGCTGTGACGACATTTACATAATAGATACTACATTTAGGTTTTTCTTTAAAATCAAATGTTTTTTTCGTTCCAGTTATTCCGATTGTCATCCTATTATTAATAGTCAATATTCAGACGACTCGTTGATATAAAGCCTACTATGTTCTGGGTGACCGCGAATACATTATTAAAGTTATGGCGTTTAACGTCTGGTCATCACAATATTTCCGTCAATATCAGACTAATATTAGGTTATTTTTTTTTCGGTCACGTGTGCAGAGGAGAATTTTGTCAAACTGTCAAGGTTTCTTGAACGTGCACACCCATGTGTTCACGAATGAACCTGGGTTTTTCGTACCGACTGACTTTACCGGGTGCCATAAAGATGAAATGGAGTAAACAACTGAAAAATAAACCAAACGAAATGTTGGTATAATTTTAGTTATTTATACTGCTTTTTTCTGTTGTATATCACTCTTGCAGTAATTTTTTTATAGCTTATCAGAAGGCGATGTATACCAGGTTTCCAGTCGGTTAGTACAATAATTTTTAACACAACCAGAACAACTTTGTTTTATGGAATGATCGTTAGCTGTCTCTGCCCAGTAAAATGCTTCTTAATAATAAATCGCGTTCCAACCAACTAAACCAACTTTAACTATAACGTTCATCTAAATTAATATTTATAACAGATCATTCCGCACTAATGTTTGATCAAAGATTAAAGTAATACTAGAACTGTCTGTATTATTTTGATTTATCTGAGCTGAAAATTTGTCATTTGGGGAATAAAAGTCTCGTAATTCATGGGTGTAATTGAAATGACTGATTGGTGAATCTTGGTGTTATTAGTAACAAAAAGCAACAATAGATGATGCACCGTTAATGGAGAAAGCATACTTAACATCCGAGACTATAATAGAAGAGTATTGATTGGTTTACGCTTCACTTCCTCTGCTATGTATCTGTGACATGGCTTTAATTTATTGCGCCATCTATCTTTCTGTCGGAAGAGGATTTTTGTTGTCCAGACATGACTTGAAATGCTCACGTAATGATTGGTTTACTACTGGTTAATCTGGACTGGATTTTGAGATAGTACCAAAAAGGATGATAATGACTTTGATCCGTTGGTACTGCGGTCTATATTGGCTTTAAATAATCGACGTTTTCTTTTTAATCACTGCTATCCCATAGTGAACATATCGATTCAGTTATGCTTCATTTACAAGCAATTTATAATACCGACATTCAACCAGGCTTTCATATAACAAGCCCATACAAGTTGCTGTTCATTAGACCGATAGTGTTAGAAACTATAGCGAAAATGTCATTCAAATTATATCCACTTAGCGTATTGATGATGATAGACTGTATGTATTAGTGTATTTTTGTAAAAAATATATCATTCCCACGAAAATACGATATCGCGATTTTCTATCGTGTTCTTGTTGCCGCAGATGGCATTGTGAGATAGTCATCCTATATTGACCAATAACGAAATAAACTTAAAGAGCCATTAGAATGTAATTTATTATTATATTATATATAGCCCTAGACTCAGTCAACTGTCAAGTACTGGTGTCCTTAGTCGTCCGCTGAACTTTTCGAAAACAGTATGACTTTACGGAATCTGTAAACGTGTATTTGCCATGTGACTTTCAGTGTTTCAGTAAAGTATCGGCACATGCAGTCCTTAAGCCCCACCCAATATTTCACACTTTTGTTCAAAAGATGAACATACATTTGCATAATGATATTCATGGACAAATGCATGATTGTCTGGACTGTTTTCCCAAAAAACTTCACAACTTCAAACTAGTGTGATATGATGTTGTTACATTTTTTAGCCGTATCTTTCATCTTCCCAACAACAATTCAAGTCATCAACCAAACAGTAGGTGTAATGTATGTCATTTGACACTACCTTGATATCACATACAAAATGGCAGCCCTGAAAGGAAACGCATGGTGGCCAGGTCGTTTGTAGTGGTAACTCAACTAATAGAACGTATGACTATGAGGGAAACCCCTGATTTAATAATACTAAGAACAGTGTTTTGAAGACACGTATGGTGATGTTTTAAAGAAACGTCTGATGATGTATAAACACATGTATGATCACATGGACAGGATATATAAAAGAAAATTGTGATTTAGTTTCATTTTTTTAAAATACAAATGCTTGTCTTTTTGCATTGTAGCCTGTCTGATAGTTATGTGACAGACTGACAATGAGTTTCTTGTAGGGACGACTTAAAACAACTTCGCCATGGTAGTCTTTAGTAGTCGCCCTGCCAGATCATAATATAATGTTATGATGGAGTGGAGATTATCAAATATTTATATATTTATAACTAGGTGGATTAATTTGACAAACTGTCGTTTTTAATCCTATTAAAAGAAATCCTGTTGTTTATATAAATATTCTAGTAGTCAAAAATCACTGCAGGAGGATATGTCACTCTCAACCTCCTAGTTAGATTATCGGATGTGCTAATAGGAAAGTGAGAACGTTTTTTTAAACGAGCTTTCTGAACCGTACAGATATTAAAATCATTCTCGATTGTCCAGACCCACATTCGTTGTAGACGAAGAAGGGGCAATTTGAATTGGGACTATCGAGGCTATATTACATTTGAATGTGTAAAGGTAATTGAAGTTAAAGATATATTATGGGAGATAAGATAAAGTGCTGTCAGTTCTCACTATAATAGTTAAAAACTAGATAATGTAAAGGCAATTTCAGTCAAATTGATCCACTATGAACCGACGAAATTAAGCGTATAATATTTTGGCCTAGCCTCGATCATCATTACTGAAGTCTGTACGATAAAAAACATCCACTCGGTCATCCATTTCATGATTAAATTATGAATGGAAGTCGAGCAGCAAATGAGATCATAATCCAGTAAATATCGCAGGCTAGCGATGCCATCGAGAGTTGATTATGATCTGGATAAGTTAGTTAGTGTCTAATTAATAATTTAGATAACATTTTAGGCCTAAAGAAAGACCTGCAATTGGCAGATTTAGCTCTTGCATAATGTATGTTAAATTTTGTTTTTCATATCCAGTAAATATGGAATTGTAAAGTTTTTTTTTTTTTATAGTACGAGAATATGTTTAGGGCTTGAATGTTACACTAAGCCGTCTCCAAAGGCACTCTCTACTTGTTTGCTTATTTAAACATGCATTATGCAAGAGCTAAATCTGATTGTTGCAAGTCTTAATTTAGGCTTCAGATGTTATAGAAATTATAAATTAGATCTTTATTTAAACAACAAGCCCAAAATCAACTCTGTAGACCCACGGATGGCTCGACTACAGCTCGGATTTAAATAGGATTTCGCTAATTGATTAAATCAAGTATGGGGCAACCTGATGAAAATGCGTCAGTTAGATCGAGGCTAAATGATAGAGTGTACTTAGCGAGGCCGCTGTAAAGCGTTTCCGTATGCCATTGAAAACTTTACTTGTTAATCGAGATATGTAGGTGGACTTAACGCCTGTCAATCAAACGGTCGGCCAAGGTGAAGACGCATTTCGCTACCATTTCTAGTCAAATATTACAACGATGATAACTATGTTCAGAATAAAGTAATTTGACTGGAATTTTCAATATATTCTTATTTCATCATCTACTTTTGAACTGTTATAGCAAGAATGGCCAACTCTCTATAAAAATCTCCCATAATGTGTATTTAATAAAGAGATCTATTTAATACACACATATTTTGTGTTCTCTTACTATAACAGTCGTACAGATTTACATTCCTTTTTGAAGATGTTTCTGGGATTATTTAGTTTCACCTCTTTA